AGTATTTTTTATTTAATCATTATATCATAGTCTTCCTACTTGTAATAGAAGTATTTTAGTCACTCAATGTTTACAAGTTTGGTATTTGTCTCAATAGACTAAATTTTGATTAAAAAAACCAACTAAAATGTGAGGTGTAGGATTTATCTTAATATGTCAAAATTTTTTTGTCAAAAAAAAAAAAGCATATATATTCGCTCACACACATTAAGGAATGCAAATCTACGTACAAAGAATATTTATATATCAATAAGAGTGTTAATAAGGTCCCCCAAATATTAAAAAATAAAGAGAGTGATCATTAATAAAAAAAAACTTAAGGTTTGGAATCATTTACCTTTACATGAATGTTACGAGTTCGAATTTCACTAACAACGTAAAATTTATCATTTTATTAGTGCATTACAGATTATTTATGATTGACTTAAGATATTTGATTTAGTAATATTGAAAACTTTATTAATTAGGATATTGGTGGGAGAACAATTATCAAGTTGGGTTAAGTTTCAATAAGTTTAAGTTCTCTTATGTAACGGCCCCGGAAATTCAAAAGGGAATATATATAATAATCTGAGTGCGGAAGTGAAATAAAAGATTTAGATTAACATCCCTTGTACACTAACTTAAAAGTACTAAACAACATTACAAAATAAGTTCTCTGAAAGAAATACGAGAAATGAGAAAAATAAAGGAAACTATAAGGCATCTAGCATTTACTCGTAGTCTTCTTCTGGATCGGGCTCGGGAACCAAGTCCCCCTGATCTGAAATGGTTAAATAAGAAATGAGCTACACTAGTCCAGTAAGTACATCACACTATATCATCGCCACTGAAGTAAAGACTGGTAAAAAAATCAAAACAACCAATGGAGTAATAGATTTAAACCAATACATTTATTTAAAATAAAACTATTTACCCTTTTTTTTTTACCATTGGAGAACCTGTGAAAACAACCTATAAAGACAATAATATCATACATATCACAATTTCATGCATAATCAGTAATATAAAACATATCATAAATCTGTATTCATTAACAATAACTGATTATCATCGTTTCTCGTTTTTACCAGCCTACTAATATCCATAGGGGTGTCACCGCTACACGTGAACCATTCTCATTAACAATTTTAATTCCAGGGCTGTCCCCATACCCCGTCCGGTATGAGTACCAGGACATTAAACCTCAATACCCCGTTCGGTATGAAGTTGAAGCGGGCCGTCCCCATACCCCGTTCGGTATGAGCGCTAAATGACCAAGTCTCATACCTCGTCCGATATGAGACAACGTTCACGGTAGGATTCCCTATGAATCCGGTCCGTCCACCATCTTCTAAGGATATCTAGTGAGACTGTTA